TTAATTTTCGATATCCCAAACATCTTGGCTGTCTTTTGGCAGATCGGGTAGCACAGTATCCTGCGCGTCAGCTCGTAAATGGCCCTAGCTTCGTCGGGGTCTTCCTCACTCTGAGAACGAGCATAAGGCAAGGCAGCAAACCCATCGTCTTCATCCTCTGCTTGGTCAGATTCGTCCGTCAATTCGTTCGAGATCCGAATGCCTCCCGCCATGCCCTTGGTGGTATCCCGGGGCTTACTAGAAATCATCCGCAGGGTGAGACGTATCGGAACGTTGTACGATTTTCCCCCCGTGTTTTTAAGAACCACGACGCGTCGTTCAAAATTCAGACTAGCTTGTAGCGCATTGAGGGCAGGTAAGCCAATAAGTACGTTGTAAGATGTCACATTGAGAACTATCACATCTCCAAGGGTGTGCACTTTTTCTATCCGGAAGGCAACATGCGTCATCCGACCGGGTGCTCTAATCTTTCCTTCATCGATTGAAATGAGATGGTCCCCCTTGGGGATCGGGATTAGATTTTTCTTCCTCCCTGCCCGTTCGACTAGTCGAAGCGATATGGCCAGAACAATCGCTCCTGAATCAATGACTATACAATACGACAGTCCACATACTTCCACGTCACATTCTGCGGACTTTCATTTGATGCGCAAGAAGTGGTCATGTTCATGAATTACCCCTCTGCGTACAAGTTCCGAGCTGCTTACCTCGTCCAACTTTTGTTATTTGGCGGGAACTTTTCCTTTCATGGCTGTGAGTTTTACGAGACTAAAACGCTGTCTGTTGGCCTTGCAATGTTGTAGCATGCAGTCCTTGGCCTATTCTAAGATAGACAAGAGGTGTCCAATCGGAGAGGGGATACAATGATCCAATGCTCTAACTAGTAACTTCAACTATATCGAGCACATCGATCTCTCCGATGACAAAGGTCGGTCCTTCTCATTCCATTAGGCTACGTGTCCCCCACGACTGCGGATCCCGCGGACGAGGTCACGCAACCGACATTATTCGCTGCTGCGCCAAGCGCAAGTGGAGCCGTGTGCCCAAAATCGACGTGCGCGCACCGCATGTGCATGGCGTCCCCCGCCATAATGAACTAAAAAAAAAAAAAAAGTGAAATTTGTAGGGGGTGATTTTCAGGTGGGGAAAAAAAACACCAAAGACAAGGATTTTTTTTTTTTTATTTTTTATGTTGTCATTGTTTCTCTCTCTCTCTTTCTCTCTCTCTCTCTCTCTCTCTCTCTCTCTCTCTCTCTCTCACACACACACACACACACACACACACACACACACACACACACACACACACACACACGCACACATGACTATACGAGCGATGGCTGGAGGGGAGGATGGCTGGAGGGACGAAAGGCTGTTGGCGAGAAGGCTACCCCCGCGTGAATAGGAGCCCCCCTTGCCCCTCTTTTTCTTTCTTTCTTTCTTTTTTTTTTTTTTTTTTTTTTTTTTTTTAGTTCCTCCTTTTGATTGTTTTTCCTGGCAATAAAATGCCCCGGCGGACAGACCAATGGGTACCCCTGAACCCTTGGCCATCGCTCCCCCCGACCCTGCGGGGCAGAGTGGGGCACATGTGGGCCGGGGAACGATTCACTCATAAGGGGCCAAGATGTATCGACCCTCACCCCCACCACATACTAACGAATGACGTGCTGGCTTGTTCTTCGTTTATTTTGTTTTTTTCTTTTCTTTTTTTTTTTCTTTTTTTTTCTTTTTCTTTTTACTAACGGGATCGTCAGATGCGCACACTAAGCGTAGGGATGGAATAGGAAGTTTTTTTTAGACGCAGGCTGTGCGTGGCGAAGCGATGACTATATTAGGAGTCGACGACGGTAGAACTATTCACCGGCCTATCTGACGACAACCGGCTACGGTAGCAGTAGGAACGAGTGGCGATAAGGTTTTGGCGGGGGAGAGATTTTTGGCATTGCGGCAGGCGACATGGATTTTTTCGCCGACTGGGACCAGGAGGAGGAGCGGCTTGAGCAGGAGGAAGTGGTAACACTCCTGGGGTGAAGCACGCTTGTGATCCCGCTCCCCCTGTGCTCTGACCGTTCGCCATGTAGTGCGTCGCGACTTGCCCCGCGGCAGTCGCCATGCCCAGCTACTGCCCACGCTCTCCAGCATTTAACGCATATCTGGCTTTTGTGCTCTTTCTCGCCCTGCTTCCCAACCTTGCGCTGGCGGGTCTGCTTTTTGCCGCCTCCCTCTCCGAAACTGTGCTCCTGCGTACTTCGACCAGAGGCTTTGCCTCGCTTGTGGCCGGCACTATTTGCTTCGTGTCGTTTTTTCTTGCTGGCTGCCTTTGCCTGTGCTTTCTGCTTGCTGATTTGGGTTGGCTAGAGGAAAGGACTGGATAGCGCGCGAGGACGATCATGGAGACCAAGATGGCGGTGGGGACATCTTCGCACGTTTTTTTAGCTTTTCTCCTCTTTTTGTCGTTCCTCTCCTTTCTCTACTTCATCTACTCTCTCCCCCCTTCCCCCCCTCTGCCTGGGTTGTGCCCTCCCGCCCCTCCCTACCCCCATCACGAATCTTCACCCCCCTCCCCCCGTCCGCCACCTTCACCTTCCCCCCCCTCGTGCCCCTCCTCCCCCACCTTGTCTCCTAGGAGATGCCCCCCCTCTGATGACGCCCCAGGTGGCATGGGGTAGCAAAGCACTTGAGGGTTTTTGCCACGCCCTCCCTGCAATCTGGCGAGATGGTCTGCGCCGATACAGGAGCGCGTAGGACCTGGAGGATAGAGCTAGAGCATGGCCTCTCCCGTCCCCTCCTTTCCTTCTCCCTTCCCTTCCCACTGGAGCCCTCACTTGTCTAAGGTCCGTCTGTTCTCCCATGGGTTTCCCTCTCCCCGTTTTTTGTTTTTTGTTTCTTACGAGCAGATTCGGACTGCGGCAATGCAGCAGGGCATAGTATGTTTTGATGACGATATTGATTGTCGCTTTGTGAAGACTGCGCCTATTTGGCGATAATAATGCTGATCGACTCAATGGTTTGATCTTTTTTTACATCCAATGGATCGTGTCGATGGTCTGCTCTTTGTGCGTATGCGATGGATGGATCTTTGGGATTTCTAATTCTACACGCCTGGTGTCGGCGATACCCCCCTCTTCTTCCTCCCTTCTCCTCTCCTCTTTTCCCCTCTCCACCCTTCTTCTCGCCGCTTCCCCTCTTCCCTCTTCTTCTCCTTACCCTTTCTCTTYGTCCCATTCGTGAAYCATYCCCCTTACCCCTCCYCCCTCCCCTTTTCCCTCTCCAATGTCTCTTCTCCCTCCCCCTTCTGAACGTCACCTCCATGAGCCTCCCCCTTCGCGCTCCGGAATGGATCGATGAGATGCATGGGTGTGGAAACTAGAAATGACTTGTCGGAAATTGTAATCGCTTTGGTTTTTTCGTTGTCCACTTCCTTTTCGTTTTACTTTGCTTGCTGATGGTATGGGAACTTGAAATGACTTGTCGAATATAGTAATCACTTCGGTTTTTTCGTTGTCCAACCTTTTTTTCGTTTTCCTTGCTTGCTGGAATGAGCGTCCGTGAATGTATGAACACTCGTCAATGTATGCGCCCTGAGCAGCGGGCTCCCATCACCTGCCCCCCTCACTTTCGTCCTGCGCTTCTGTCGCCTGCCCACCCTCCTTTGACAAAAACGGCCTTATTCGCCCTTATCACAAATGGACATACGAACGGGCTTTACCCTGCCACATTGGGAATCGCCTCCGCGCTTTGCTTCTTGCCCTCAGCGTGCCGACAAGTTGACGTCGAAGCTGTGCGGATATGACCTGTCATACCCGTACGTCTCTCATGTGATACGCACATCCTACACACTCAGGAGGACGAGTGTCCTCGATCGCTGTTGGGGGGTGCCCTCCCCAACCGCACTGTGAGGCCCCATCACGGCACTCCTTATGCGTCGTCGCGTGGACTAGGGTGATGATTGTGGCCATAGGGTAAGCCTGAGGATGTCTGAGCGTTGGGGGGGTGACGGCTGGGGAGTTGTTGAGAATGGAGAAAAGGAGCCGCGATATCTGTAGTAAGAATTTCGAAAGTTTAGGAAAAGTTGTGTCTGCCTGATGCCTGCTCCGTCTCTGCCTTTATCGAATGATCTTGTTAACCTATTACATGCGTGGTCTTGTGCTTCCCTTGTTGTGTCCCCAACCGTCGTATTCCCAATCGCTCGCCTATGCTTCCCCGGTGAACCCGTCCTCCCTTCCCCTCCACACCCACCCGCCGTCACTTCACTACGGACCCTGTGTACCCCCATCCCCCCTGACAACATCCACACTTCTCCTTCCATCGGGCACTCTTCTCTTTCTTATCCACCTCCTCTTGATCCGCACATTTAAAATCTTTCTCACGGGTATTACCAGTTGAACACCCCCCTCACGGATCCGACCTTCCCGACGCCTCCCACCTCACTCACAGCCTCCCCCCAAGGAGTCTTTTCCTGGGGGCTGGTGGAATGAGATCACGCACCGCTTCCCGTGGCTGAAGGAATGCGCACCCCCTGCCAGGCTTACGCAGGAGCTGTTCACATGCGTTAATCCTGGTGTCATTTCTGCAATCAAGGCGAAATGCGATTCCGGCGACTACCCTCATTTCTTTGAGATGATAGCTTTTAGCGATCTCGCCGTTCTTGCTGGTGCGTGGGAGCGTCGTAGGAATGATTTCAATGATGAGCTTGCAACCCTCTGTGAGAAGCTCGAATTAAGGAAACACGAATACATGAGGGAGTGCAGGGAACTAGGGGGTAGGGCGGCAAGGATCGAACAGATCTTCCTCAACATCTGGGGAATAGATGATTTGCACCTAGAGGGGCGTGTGCCCGTGGTACATGCCCATGACTCCCCCAACCCCCAGGGCACCCCCGCGACACGATGCGACGATCTCGCAATCGAGGAAGAGGAGAGGGCGGAGATGGAGCAAGAAATTGCCGCCATTACAGCCGCCATGCAGGACTCCCCGCTCATGACCGGTCGGGGCAGCGCTGATGCTTCCGAACGCGATCAATACACGACCTTTGCCCCTCTAGCATCCGCAAGCTGGATCGAGCACACCTCCACAGGGTTTAGGCACGCGATTTAGGAGATGGACACATTCAACCATCTTGCACCTACCTTCGTCCGTGCGCTTCAATTCCTAAGGAACGTTAGCGATGAGCAGGTCAAGCAGTGTAGGGCGCAGATACTAAAAGGGAAACTGAAGTATTGTGGGAAAGTCAACCCACTTGATCCGCAGGACCTGAAGTTTCCCCCTATGCGCAAACTGGACCCAGATAAATGTGGAGAGACTAACTCGGGAATGTGGCAGAAGGGTATTAGGCAGGATGGGAAGACCGATCTGAGGACCCTCAGGAAAATTTGGAGCGTGGGGAGACCATACTTGAAGTGTAAATGTAAGAAGGAGAGGAACAAGGATTGCAGGGACACCCCCCTCTGGTTCGATCACGCCATCTGGTTCCTATTGGCACATCCTGACGTCTTGTTCCCAACCTTGTCTTCAATCAAGGTGCGCACCTCGATGCTCATTCACTATTTGCGTACCACCTGGAGGGATGGGGTGCTGGCTGCCATCGGATTCCATTTTCTCAGGGACTTGATGATGGGAATCCTAAAGGAGCTTGAGGCGGATGGGACACTGAACGCGGAAGGGGTGCTCAAGGAAGACCAACTCTGGAGCTACCCAATCCCCGCCATGCTAGCGAGCATCATGCTCCCCACCCGGATTCCCGACAGACCCTCGAGGATCCCGCTCAACTCTCCGTGGCTGCGGCGCGAAAACGGGGTGGCATGGCGGAGGTCCCCGGGCAGACCACCCTCAACTTTAGAAGAGCCCAGCCCGCAAACGATGCCCCTCCCGCTCCACCTCCACCTCCCCCTCCTCCTCCTCCCCCTCTGCCTCCCCCCTAGCAGCAGCCCGTGGCTCCGGCATCGACCCGCCGGGAGGCGCCCCCTTACCGAGAAACCCTGCTGCCAATGTACCTCCATCGGTGTGCCAGCAGGTGGCCCCATCATCGACCACCTGGATGCCTGTCCTCACCTCACCACTCCCCTCGGCGCAGCACCCCCTGATGATTATCCAGGGCCTCACCCCCCCGCCTGTGATCCACATTTCGCCAGGCGATTCCGCCCAGTCAACGCTCACCCAGCCCGCAGGGAAGAGCAGGAAAGGCGCAACAGGAAAAGGCAGAGGCAGGGGCGGCACTACCGCCGGCAAGCGCTCAGCGTGGGCCTA